ATCATGCATTAAATCATGCATATTTATGAACTTCAAAAGCTTATTCATTTATAAATTGAATTAATTTTATTTTGCTCCATGTAAGCAAAAAACATGTGCTACTGTAATGCTAGTACATTAGAAATTGTGATGTCAGTGAAATGTCCAAAGAGGAATGAGATGTTGCAGGGCAGGAAACAGGGCACTTGAGATGATATGGACAGGGAATATAATGTTTTATACTGCCATAAGCAATTTCTTTTAGAACTATGAAGATTTAACAAATTGATTACTTAAGCAGGTTAATTTGCACTGCTTTGTTTTTCTGTAGGCCTGTTCAAATTCACTAAGTAGGTCCTCCTTGTTGTTAAACAATTTGTCTCTTGGCTTGCAGGGATTCAAGAAGGGGATTCATTCTTCTTTTACTTAGCCAGTTCATTTTGTTTACTATGTGCATGTACTGCAAACTAATGCAAACAAAAATGGTTATGGTTCAGCTAAATACTTTAGATTCTCATATTGCCAAATTGACACTGCACAGGTGGCACAGAAGCACTTCTGAAGTGGCATTTAAGTGTCTCAGATTGTTTAATGCTGCTCAGAGGGGACATAAATGCACTGAAGCAATTAAAACGACTGTGATTACTAAGGGCTAAGGTGAGTCAGAGCAGGCATAATTTAGTCTGGCTTTTATGCGGCATTGTTTTGTTACACTGAATTTTGAGCAGGCACAGAGCAGCCTTAACTTGGCTGTGTAAAGACATACTACAGAACTTGTATCACTCTATAACTGTTATGGCAGAGAATTTACGAGATTTTGTTTGTTTTTTTGTTTTGTTTTTGTTTTGGACATTTGCTAAGTATTCACACTAAGAAAGTTACAAAATACTTTCATCTGCGTATCATATGAAATGAGATCAGGAGAATGCTCTAAAATGTTGTGAGATGAAAGAAAAGCTTTTCCTTCAGACAGTGTTTGGTGCATTTCTGGGGCGTTTGAGGCTCCCATTGCAGCTTAGATGCATGCCAGTCAAAGAAAGAGTTTATTTTTATAAACTGCACACGTATGTGATTCATAACAGTTCAAGCTGAAAATGTGGAAATTTTCAAGAAAATTGTAGCAACAAGGTAAACATCACATTATTAATATTAGACATGGATGAAGTGAATGTATTACACAAAAACTTAGAAGATATCTGAATAAGTTTAATTTGATGTAAAGTACTAATTTCAGAGGAAGTGCTAACTGATCATCATTAGTTCTGTTTCAAACACTATTTATATTTTGGTGAATTGGTTCGTTTCAGGTAGGTAATTCCTTACAATTTAAATATCTCTGTTTTTAATATACTTATTGTTCCAATATTTTTCAAATGGTTTGCTAGACATTTGTGGGACAGGTCAAGACAAGATGGGATTTCTTTTCCCACCACTACAGGAACCTAATTTGCACACCCCATGCATCATACATCATGGATTGATAAGAACATGAAAGTCACTGGGAAATGTCAGTATAACTGACCTGGACAAGGCTGACCTGCCTTACCTCAAATAAAATCAACCTACGATCTCCTCTGTCCAAAGAACAAAAACTGTTCTGACCCAGGCAGAGATGTGAGAGGTACTTTTGATAACCCACATGTGACACTGTCTGACAAGATAAATGATAATCAATAAAGACAGAGTGATTGGGCCAACAAATCTTGGGGCAAAATTTTTGGATTCGACTCTTAAAGGCAAGTCCTTAGCTGAGAGCCAGACCCTTTGTCCTATTCTGAAGACAGAATAGGACTCTTGTCAGCTTGCTTCTTTTAGCGAGTTGAAGCACATCTCAAGGCCAAGTGAGCCCTTTTCCATGTCCTTCTGCACCATTCAATGAACCTTTCAGCACTAGGGACCCCTACCTCTAATTCTTGACTGAAGAACAGTGGTGGCTCAAACCTGAATTGACACTTGAATGGGGATAATCCAGTGGAAGGTCTGCTTATTAAGGTGTTGTGTGCCAGCTCTGCCCAAACCAGGAACTGACTCCAGGAGGATGGCTGATGGAATGTTGAAGCAGTGAAGGTTTTTCTCCAGATCTTGATTTACCCATTCTGTGTGGCCATTTGACTGAGGGTGGAAACCTGAAGAGAGACTGACAGAAAAGCCAAAAGAGACCAGAATGCCTTCCGATAGCGAGACATGAACTGAGGACCCCGATCAGTAACAATATCCATTGGAAATCCATGGATCCTTACAACATTCTGAAGAACAATCTCAGCAGTTTCTTTAGCAGAAGGAAGTTTAGGTAAAGCAATGAAATGTACACCTTTAGAAAAGCGATCCACCACCACCAAAACAAGAGTGTTACCTTCAGATACTGGCAAGCCAGTGATACAATCCATGGATATATGAGATCAAGGACACTGTGGGGTGGGCAGGGGATGTAGGAGACCAGCAAGACGTTGATTAGAAAACTTCTGTTGAGCACAGACTGGGCAGGCCTGTACAAAAGACATCTTGACATCTCTAGCCACCAAAATGGTCTCTGAATAAAATCCAAAGTCCTCTCTACCCCTGAATGACCAGCAAGAGGAGAGGTGTGGTACCATTAAAGGACAATATCTTCAATGGACAGGCAAATAGGTGTCAGAATGCAGTCACTGGGAATGATGAGTTCTGGGTAACGGTTCTTCTGGGAACAATCATACTGGTGTGACAAGGCTTCAGCCTTAACATTCTTCGATCCAGGTCTGTAAGAAATCACAAAATTCAAAAGGGGAAAAAAAAGGGCACACCTAGCCTGCCGAGGGTTAAGGCACTTTACCTGCTGCAGATAGGACAAGTTCTTGTGGTCTGTCCACACAATGAAAGGATACTTGGACCCCTCCAGCCAGTGGTGCCACTCTTCTTGTGCAAGTTTACAGCTTGAAGTTCTCGGTTACCCACATCGTAATATTTTCAGCTGAAGACAGGCTTCTGGAAAAGGAGGAGCACGGATGAACTTTATCAGTGATTAATCTCTGAGAGAGAACTGCTCCTACTCCCACTTCAGATGCATCCACCTCAACAATTCAGGGTCTGGATGTACCAAGATTGGGGTGGAAGAGAACAGTTTCTTTAATCTGTCAAAAGACTTCAAAGCTTTAGTAGTCCAGTGAATACGAGTGGGTGAACCCTTATTAAGAGCAGAAATGGGTGCTGCAATTGTGCTGAAGTTGCAAATAAACCTCCTATAGAAATTTGCAAAGCCCATAAATCTCTGTACCTGCTTCAGTGTTTTGGGCTGGGGCCAGTTGGTGATGGCAGATACCTTCTTTGGTTCCATCTGGATGCCTTCTTGAGAGGCAACATAACCTAGGAATGAGACTTGGGGCACATGAAACTCACACTTTTCTAGCTTTACAAAAAGATGATTCTCAAGTAGCTCAAGAATGTGTTCCTGTAGAGAGTTTGAGAAAATTAATATGTCATCTAGATAGACAAACACAAAACGATTCAACATCTCCCTCAAGACAGCATTGCTGAAGGCCTGAAACACTGCTGGGGTATTAGCTAACCCAAAGGGCATGACTTGGTATTGTCGGGGTACTGAAGGCTGTCTTCCATTAGTGTTAATTTTGTCAGCTATTTTTTTAATATAGTCTTAGTTTTAGTCCTGTGTCAAATGTAACTTTTAGTTTTTATCATATTTAGTCAACTTGTCCTGTTTTAGTTTTAGTCACATTTTAGTCGACTAAGGCCCGGTTTCATAGACAGGGTTTAGCCTAAACCAGGATTAGGCCATAGTTCAATTAGGACATTTAAGTAGTTTTTATAAACATGCCTTAGAAAAAAAGCATTACTGGTGTGCATCTTAAGACAAAACAAAGGCACTGACATGTTTTAAGATCAGTCAGTGCAAGTTTCTTTCAGTTGAAACAGCTCATTTACATTTTAGTCTAGAACTAGGCTTAAGTATTGTCTGTGAAACTGGGGATAAATGTCTGAGCATTTAGTCTAGTTTTAGTCAGTGTCAACTTACACATTTTCCTCATATTTTCATCTTACTGTACAATGGTTAAAATGATTAAAAAAAAACGATTATTTTGCTCAATTTTAATTGCAATGATTGTTGTCATTTGGGAATTAACATTTTTTTTATATATATATTTCATCAGAAGTTGCTCTTTCACCAAGAAGCACAAATCAATAAAATATCGACTTGTATGCATGATTTATTTTATCTGATCTAGAGCACAGATTTATAACAGGATATAAATTAGAGGCTAAATAAACACCAAAGACTTTAGATATACACTCGCCCTGTCTACATTATGAAAACTGGTGTAACAAAAACCTACTCTCAAATATTATAACAGAGAAATTCCTAATAGTAATTCCAATAATTCCAAATTACATTAATGTTTCTCTTTTAAAACAACGGCAAAAAAGACTTATTGCCGCACCGAGGTTGCTTAAGTAACGTTACAATCAGCATCTACTATCACAAACAATAGAGTCGAGATCCATGACAGAAAACAGGCTGGCTGAATGACGCTTTAATTTAAACAGAATACCTCAAATGGAGAATGCTGAACTCCAGCTTACTTGTACAGTACTATATGTCGGTGTTTTCAGATCATGGCAACTCTTGATATCTGGCAACCACAAACTTTAACACTTGCATAATAGAGTCTTGTACAGCAGTCTGAAATGTTTTGGCTCCACTTTTTTCAACAAAAATAAAAAGGTTTTTGTAAAGTTTTTGTTCTTTTAACTACATTTTAGTCTAGACTTTTTTCGTCAACAATATTGCATGTTGATGTTGTCTCAGTTATCGTTTAATGACCTTATCATCGTCTCGTCATCGTCTCATTTTAGTCAGGGAAAAAAACTTTGTTGACAAACATTTTTCGTCATAGATTTCGTTAACGATATTAATATTATCTTCCATTCATCACCCCTCCTTTATGTGCACCAAGTTTTATGCACTTCGCAGATCTAATTTTGAAAAAATCCTTAGCTTTCTGAAGCAGTTTAAAAGCAGATGACATAAGCGGAAGAGGGTATCAATTCTTGATAGTTATTTTATTGAGCCTACGATAAGCTATGTAAGACATAAGGCTACCATCTTTCTTAGTGACAAAAAAGAAACCAGCACTAGCTGTTGAAGTTGGGGGGTGAATGAAGCCAGTCCTTAAAGGGGTCATCGGATGCCCACTTTCCACAAGTTGATATGATTCTTTAGGGTCTTAATGAAAAGTCCATAACATACTTTGGTTAAAATTTCTCAATGGTAGTGTAAAAAACACCCTTTTTACCCTGTCAAAATCAGCTCTGTTTTCAGCACGCTGTTCTAGTCCATGTTGCTTTAAATGCTAATGAGCTCTGCTGACCCCCCCCCTCTTCCGTGGGGTGATGAGCAGACTTGTAAACTTCAGCCAAGAAACTGGCTAACTAGCACATATTAGGAAAGGCGATTTGCAAAGATTCATAAAAACCCTTATGCTCACTTATTCTCTAGATGAAGCTGGATCATGAATGATTCGCACAAACTTAAACGCATTTAGGCAGATCAGGGATCAGCGCATTCCTTTCAAAACGAAAGTAACGTTAATCCTCTGCGTCTTCAGCGGCTCAGATGTCGGGAGTAAATTAAGACTGCTATGTTCATTATTACATCCAACAACAAAACATCTCAATCGCTTAATAGGAGACATTCTTGTCTTCACCTGCACCGGAGTCGACACAATGGCGACAGCTCACTCAGGGCGGGTCTAAGGTAAGACGGCCTTGTCAATCAGCTATCGTGGGAGCGGCCTGTGCAGAACGACGCCATGCTGACAGGAATCTCAGAACAGCTTGATTTGAGAAAGAGGATTTTAAAATAGGGATTTAAAAAAAAAAAACATTGGGTGGATTTTTATCATTATAGGGTGGATGTGTACACACACTTCCAACACACATTTATGTTCAAACAACAACAAAAGTGAATTTTGCATCCGATGACCCCTTTAAAGCATCCTGAATATATTCATTCATGGCCTTAGTTTCAGGGGCAGAGAGGGAATATAGATGACCTCTTGGGGGGAGTGTGACAGGGATAAGGTCAATAGCACAATTGTATGGTCTATGAGGCGTAGCTTGGTAGCACATTGTTTGCTAAATACTTCTCTCAAATCATAGTATTCATGGGGTATAAGTGTCAAATCTAGTTGATTGTTCAAGGAACAAGCACTCATCTCTTCAACTGCTGCCAGAATTTATTTACTCCCAGCCACGAAGGAAGCAGAAGGGGTGCAGGAGTCCTTACATGTAGAACCCCAAAAAAGAAGAGTTCCAGAGGCCCAAGAAAATTGAGGGTTTTGAAGCTGCAACCAGGGGTGACCCAGGATAACCCAGAAGACTCGATAAGATAAAAGGAGATTGTTTCATGGTGGTTAGCTTCAATGGTTAAAAAAGAAGAACTGTTCTAAACTTGATCAATACACACCCAATAGGTCGGCCATCCAGGGTTTCAACTTTCCAGGATGAAGGACAAGTCTCATAGGGGATACACAACTTCTTTGCCAGTTCAATGTCCAAAAAATTGTCAGCTGCACCTGAATCCACAAATGCTTTCAATGTAATCGTCCGCTCCTTAGTAACCCCCCAAGAAAGGGTATCTGACTAAAGTAAACGGGAGTGAGGAGTGTCAAACTGGGCAGACCCACTCACCAGGGTTCCCACACCCCCTGGTGAGCCTGATCTTTTAATGCTAATTCAGTTCAGGAAAGACGCATGTGACCAGACCACACACAGTAGAAACAATGACCTTCCTTCATGCGTCTCTCTCTTTCCTTAGGTGACAGGTGAGTCCTTCCCAGCTGCATTGGTTCTTCCTCTGTCTCTTGGTTGAGATGGGCCATTTCGGGAGCATTTGGAGGTGATAACATGGGCATGACTCGGGGAGTGCAACATTCTCTTCTCCTTTCATGAATATGGTTATCAATGTGGATTGCCAAGGTTATGAGTTCCCAGTCTCTACTGGCTAGTTCATCTTTCACATCTTCAGAAAGGCCACGGTAAAAGGTTGAGACAAGAGCCTCTGAGTCCCATTTACTCTCATGCCAGGGAAATTCAATGGCTTGTTGCCCTTGACGTAGGTCTAGTAGCCTTCTTGCTGCTTCACGGCCACTGACTGGATGGTCAAACACCTGCTGAAGAGTGTCTGTGAACACCTGTAGATCTGAGCAAATATGAGACTGTTGTCTCTGAAGCCCAATCCAGTGCACAATCACACAACAGGGATATTATGTAAGCAATCTTAACCTTCTCAGAAGCAAAGGTGGAAGGTTGAAGTTCAAAGATGAGAGAAACTTGAGTCAGGAAACCCTTGCAGGTACCAGGCTTACCATCATAATGCTGAGGGGCTGGGACCTTGGGTTACTGCTAATGGTAGAGGCAGGTGCTACCACAGGTTCTCGAGGCTAGAGTGCTTGGAGTTGTAGCAGAGACTTCCCAATCTGGTTCACAGCATCTGTCAGCCTCTGAAGCTGTGTCTCGTGTGATCCAAGCAAGACTCCTTGTTTTGCTAATGGATCCATGGATCTGTTCAGCCTCTGCTGGGTCCATTATATTGTGGCTCAGTCTAGCTTTCACGGCTTGAACCCAGAGTGTGTTGCTGGAAGCCAGGGATAAATAAGGCTCAAAAGTGTACCTTTTGAAAAAATACTGCCCCACTGACAGCTTTTGTACCTTTCTTTTTCTGAGAGTGGTAAAAGTGTTTTGAGGATATAACATAGTATTGTGCAAGAAAATAAGTAATTATTAATCAATAATCTGACCATGTAATCATAATTTGGAATAAATTTGTTTCATCTGGAAACTGCAGTGAATTGTAGGCATAGGTATATTTTTTGCAAAAATGTAGGTATAAAGGTAATTTTTCCAATGACCCTGGGTTGCTCCATTTTATATGCATTTACTATAATTGTTGGGTTTTAAGAAAAAGAAAAAAAAACAACAGGAAAATTATGCACTTTTTTTTCAGCTGGATCTTCTTTGCACTTTGCACTTGCTTTGTCAAATCATGCCACATCCCAGCAGGCATTGCCCTTGATCCCTGTGTGGTACCCGAAATATATTTTTTTTGTTGTTTTTTTTTGTTAATTTGGACTATAATTACGAAGGTGGTGGATTCCTAGAAAGCACTGGACATCTGACCCTCGTAACACCGACTATGCCACCCTGGGAATTTCACGCAGGGAAATAATGGTCCAATAAGGACACACAGGTTCGTTCCTACAAGGATACAGCGGAGACATGAATGTAAAGAAAGATAACAATAATATTTTATTTATAAATAGCATAAAAGCAGTTCCACACACACACAAACACACACACACACACACACACACAAGGAATTGAGTCTGGCATAAAAATAAAGACAAGACAAAGGGGCAAATAACAAACCAATAAGACAATCAAGAATACATGTCAGATGGCAGGGAGAAATAACAAACCCACCCAAATTCCACTTCACTACGCACTTCAACCGTACGCTATTGTACTCAATCCACCACACACGTGCATTCAAGGTAACAGAAAACTACAATCGGATCACAAAATACAAAATACCTTAACTTTCACAAATTCAAGAAAAACAAATTAAACACATCAAGTTGTCACACAAACCAATATCAAATCCATATTCTGATACTTTGTAAATGTAGCCAGATTCATATATTTCAGCTATGCCACTACAACTGGTTTTAGGGGGTAAATATCCACCTTATCTTTCCCTTAACAGCAGGTGCGGCCATTTGTAATTTTTTTTTTTTAGAAGCAGCTTGCACTTTCATCCATGTATTAACAGACAAAAGCAGTCCTTTTTTTCTGCACTGCCATATGGTGCATACTGTGACAAAATCAGAAGAGGGTGATTGACATGAACTCAGTCACTCTGAGGATTTATGGCACATCACTCACACTCTCCATGTAAGTGTGTATGAGAACACCCTGAGGTCATGTTTGGTCTCTATGTTTTTAAGGGATAAGAGATTTCTGATCTTTTAAGCATTCTGCTCACTAGACACGGCTTAAAGGCTTTATTTGAGAAGCCAATGCAAGACAGTTCTTCATGTTTTCTAGGAAAATGAACAAGGTGACTCTGCAGAGGAACAGCAAACTAAAGAGTCACAAACTGCCAATACAAACAACACTGATGACAATGAGTGGTCAGCACACTCTCTCTCTCTTTATATATTTACATACAGATCGAAATCTGTACAAGACCGGAAGTACATGATGACCTATTTGTGATTCTTCTTATACAGCAGGACCTGAATTACAAACAGACAAAGGATAAAACAGAATGACAGCAACTGTATAATAGAGCAAGATCAACACTAGACAATCTGAGTGAACATAATTTATTAGAATTTATACACTTATATACACTTATATAAACTCTAATCGAGTTAAAAATTAACAAAAGGTCATGGGCCTCTACAAAAATAAGCACACATGGAATTCACAGCAATTTTTTTGGTGTTATTGTCCAGTGAATAATCCTTTCTTAGGAAGCAAAACTGCATAAAATATTAAAACCTGATTTATTCGCGTTTTGAGCATACATTTATTTTTGAGAGATTTATGCTTAAAGCATACAAAAAAGAATTAGAAGAAAATATCTTTTACACAAGTTTTGCTTCTCAATTAATTTTGTTTTTTGTTTTAATGGTGTAGATATCCTAGTAAAAAAGTAGTATATTTGAAATAATTTATTTCATACTAACTATAGTTCAAATCTATTAACATACTTTAAATGCAAGATATTTAAAGTGTACCTAAAGCACAATCAAATATACTTCAGTATATCTTTAGTTGGACTTCAGCACTACTTCCGCACAATTTAAGTGCATTAAGTACAAAATTAGTTGTTCCAATTTAGCGGACTTTAAGTATACCAGTTTAGTATGCTAAAAATTGCAGGGTATTTTTATTTAGTACATAATATATAAATGTATCTGTAGTATACTTAGCATGAAATAAATGTTTTTCAAATACATTAGTATATTTATTTTT